AGGTACTAATTCAGACTCGTTCAGCAACTATAATTGAAAACGCGAACGGAAATCTGAAAGGAAAACCCTGAAAATCGAACTTCGCTACACACCCCACCCTTATATAAATCCGTAAAGTGACTATTCTATTAAGTATATTCGAGGATTGGATGCCATGTAATACCACACGAGGCTGCATGTGTAAAACCCCATAAAATAACAGGTGTCGTTGGGATGTGCCCTCCGCTGATCAATTAACCTCTCTCCAACCGTGGCCATCTGCGTGCAGGTGAAAAATAAAAAGTCGCAGCGGAAATGAGATGAATTTTGAATTAGTACAGAGAAATTAGGTCAAATTATTTGATATGATGTGGAAAATCTCAAATCGATTTTTTTAAGGGAACTTCACTGACTCAATTCGAGTGTGTAGAAACCTGTATTCACACGAATAAACGAATTTCAACAATTTGTATCCAATGAATATATCTATTACTTGTATAGTAAGTATAGTATAGTACCTATAGTTGGTAAAACCAAAAATTTTTGGTGAAACTATTGCATATTGAAGTATAGAAACAGTTTTAAACACTGCATAGAGGGAGTACACTTCAGTTTAAGAGATTTTGTAGTATATTCAGTAAAGAATGTAATTCACGGATATATTTTTTTTCATTTCGGTTCCTCATCCTTTGTAACAACAACCTACTTTATGTTTCATGAAAAATATTTTGGAAAATTTTGCCGTTTGACGGCAAGCACCGTGAATGCGTCAAAGAAACACTAAATATGTATTATTCATCCACATTTATTGTATTATGTCGACTGAAAACGGTAACACAAAGTGGCGATTTGAGTTTTAGGAGAAAAAAAGCTGCCGGAGCCTAATCAGGTGCTTACGGTGGCTTTTTTGTAAGATTTGATTAGTTTCTTGTTTTGTTTTGCCAGATTACTTGTAAACAAAACAATTTTGGAAAATTGACAACCACACGATAGGGGAGATGAGTAAATTACTGTCCTAATCTACGTAATTAATGACAGATCCGAAGTTTCTGGGTATTCAGCGAACATATAATTTGGTGATGAAGTTAATATGAGTGAATAATATGAATGATGTGAATATGAGTGAACAGAGGATACAGATGAGTGAAATTAATATGGCACCAAAAATATCAATTTTACACCTAGTTAGAGCAGTCATAGAAGTTATTTTTCGAAGCTGATTAGGCTAAAACTGCGTTTTAGTTTTTCACAATTTCCAGACCATCCAATGAATGAAATGAAATAGAGATTTTGAATATTTGAAAATGTAAATGTGGCTTTGTGCAGATAACTTCAAACAAGTGAGTATCATGATGCCCAGTTCAAGAATTTTCCATTGGTTAAAATCAATCTTTTTTTTGTCCTTGATCGAAAACTTGCAAGAAAAATGTTTAACAAATCTTTTTGTAACAGTAACTATTCAAACATTTCAGTTTCAATACCGTTATGAAAAATTGAAGTGAAATAAGAGAAGAAAAAAAACACGTTTAGAACCCAAAATCCTTCCAGGACAAAGAAAAATGGAAACTCAAATTTTTGTCAGACATTTTCAATCATCAATTGAATAGTATTTGATCACACATTATTTATTTTCATGAAAAAACATAAGTACTCCACGTTTCCTATTCTGTTCCAAGCGTTCCAAACAACTTGAAGCTTGCAAAAAAAATTCCTATAGTTTCACCTAATTCTCATGTACTAAATCTCGTCCGGTGCTCGATAGACCTCGTTAGTCCTTAGCTCGCACAAGTTTCTCAACTTCTGAGAGTTGTCGTTCGTATGGGGGCCACAGCTGATTAACGGAAAAACAGATTTTGAACTTATTTGCATGATCTACAAATCTTCATTTTAATTCATTGCTCCTTCCTTCTTTGAAAGATTTCCACATTTTTTTTATGTAAAAATGGAGAAAGAAGTAGGAAGCCAAAAACATCCTTTCCTAAATATTAACCTCTCCTAAAATTATAACCCTTTCAATTTAAACAAGTTTCTTTTGTCTGGGACTTAATCAAATGAGCGAATGACTGTCATTTCGCACTCTCATCGCTGACATGACATTCCGTGACATAAAGTCGTAATTTTATGAATTAATGGAATGTGTTTTCTTATAATTTTATCCAGATTTGGTAGTGAAGAGCTGATAAGCCAACTATGTAATGGCGAAACATACAAGATGTCTACCAGTGAGGATGACAGTGTTAAATGTAAGTGAAATTTTACCTCTTTCATTTAGTTTATTGTTTAGGAATCCTGTGGATGATATCTGATTCAATTCCATAATAAAGAAAAGTGTTTATATAGTTCAGTTCAGTTATATAGTGCTGTATATTATTTATTTCGGTCAGAGTCAGGGGGAGTTCAATTCTCCATTTGGTTCAAGTCGGAGTGTTTGCATTTTTATTTCTTTTTGATTTTTCAATTTTCAATTTTGCTTGTATTTTATTGTACTTAATTTCATTTCGGGAATTTTTTGCTCGATATAATTGTTATTTTCAGCTATTCATTTGCATTTCAATTTTATTTGTTCTTTTGGGAATTTCAAATCATTTTATATCAAACATTGTCAACCACCTTCAAACAAGTTGTATTTCTCGGAACTTTAGAGGGATTTAAATCTGAAAATATAAGAGAGAGCGCCGATTTTTTAACCTTTTTTCAATGAATACTGAATTTGTTTCAATGAGTTCGGGAACAAATTATATTGTGAAACCTTGGTCCTAAGACACATTTTTTGTAGCTTTAGTAGGCGTACCGATTCACAGAATTTGTTTTGTACTTGGCATCATTATAATAGGTAATGATAATTATATTTCAGTTGACTGCGATGACCATACACGTTACATACCACCCTAGTCAAATTAGGTAAAATTCATATCGAATGAATCAATTCTATGAAATAACTATCCAAATAACATTTTAGTACCATAAGAGTACACAGTGGATTCATATTATTTCAATGTACATTCACTGTGAGTAATAACATCACAATATAAATGACTTTTCACTATTTTCATAGTGAATAAGCTCCATTTTCAGAATAAGAAAAATCTAAGTATATCAGCAGCTTTTTCTTCGCTGATTCTCATTATTTCCAACTTTTCTGGCAGATGTCAGGAGTTTCTAAATGTGAAATATGACGAGTAATATATGTTTCAATTCAAAACTCCTTTGTCGAGGAAGTTTAAAAAAAAGAGATTCGATTTTTTATGTAGGTACCTACATTATTCGATTTTATATGTACCTAGTAATATGATTTATATGTATGTATTTCAGGAAAAAAGGAAGAAAATTGTAGCATAGCCCCATTTTCCCAGAAAATATTTCTTTTTATTGAACGAATTATATAAATGTATGATCTCTCTTAAGGTAGAATGCCATATTAGCCTTTAATGAGCCAATATTATGATCTAATTTGAAATTAATGATATTTTTCTAATTTTTGATAGAATCGAGTAAAATGATAAACCGCAATTCTTCAGTGAATGCATACTTGATTGAATGATTTTGAATAAGCCTTAACTTCTAAAATCAACCAAATAATTATACGGATGAAACTTTTAAAAGGTAGACCCGAATGCTTGATATGTTCAAATGCCTTCATTTTGGAAATATTATTCTAAAATGTTATTTGAACTTCAACAGAACAAGTGAGCAGGTATATTTGATTCAAACTAAAAAGAAGGCTCCTTAAAAACTGTTGAATTCAGATTTGTTTCGGTCATCTCAACAGTTAGGTCTGTTTTGAACAGAACCTACTAATAAAAAATCCATGCGAGCAAAATTGTCAATGAATGGGAATCTTTGATTGAATTGAATACGGAATTATGAACGCAAAAAAAGAAAATCGTTTCTTGTTGGATAAGTAATTTTTGTTGATTTGTGGTCAGAATAAGAGATCTGATATTTTAGAAAAATAATTGAAGAGCAAATAAATCATCAAATGGGTTCGAAAGTTGGGATAAAATTGTGTCCGAAAATACTCCATCACTGAGGAGTTACCAGTATTTATATTGGAAGTAAAATATGTAAATACTGCTTTCCGCAGGATACAATCTGAGCTACAATATATTTTCGAACCGCCAAGCAGCCGAGACCTTCGGTCAATGAATGTGAAACTAAATTTTTTTCCGAGTTTTTTCCGAGACTGTAACTCAACTGAACTTTTTCTTAAAAAAATTAACGAAAGATCATTGGAAAACATTGATATCTAGGATTATTCGGCATCAATAATATTAAGGAATTTTGGGACAGCTCAATTGGTTTTCCATGGAAGCAAGACGTGAAATCTATATAATGAATATACAGGAAAATAGGAAAAGAAATCAAAACCACACAGTATATCTGTCAAATCACTAGTTGGCGGTAAAACAAACCTAATTATTCAAAATCTTCCAGAAATCAAAAGTGATTTTCTTATCAAAGTAGTATTTTGATCCAAATATGTCTCTCAGTAAAAGATCTCTATTCCATGAAATATTCTTGCAAAAATCAGATATTTGTTTTTTTGTGTTTCTTGTTTATTGTATGACTATCCTACTGGTAGGTATTGATATACACGACCCCACACTTTTACAGACAACTTTAAGAAAAAACTGTTTTTGCTTTTTTGAATCACCCCTTATTTAGAAGGGCGATTTTTGTCCAATTATGAATCGATAATGAGAAAACTAAATTTTATTAATATCCTTATTACAAAACAATCTTCAACTTCAACCAAGTTTTCATTGCAATAGTGACGGTTATGTCGACGATATCTAAAACTATAAAAATCTAAATTATAACTGTTAGAGCAATGACTTTTGAAAAACTCACTATCCATCGAGTTTTGTGTATCTATCAAGTGGCACCTAAGTAAATTTAAGTAAAATTCAAACAAAAGTCCCATAGTATCAGCTTCACCAGTGAATCAACCATCAAAAAGTTCATACTTTCTACCTCATATCAGTGATATACGAGCAGATAAAACAACTATGTCTACTTACATGTCGTTAAAAGAGTAATATCCATGTTTAAAAGCCGTAATCCAAGTCAACAGGCGTGAAATAATCACTTAATAAATCACTCAAACAATTAAACCATAACAAAAACAAACATTTTAATAAGTGCTTTCACTAATCTGCTTTACGCATCGTTTAAATCTTTCAGCACTGCACACAGTCCCTGAATCCCCTAATCTCTGAATAAATCACCATTTAATTACGAAAAAGAAAACACTTTTAGAGTCTAGTCCCCGATAACTTTTAGAGTATTCAAATGTATTCCTTTTTTAATGGAATTAAAATCGTAGTCTCCAATTCACCACTTCATACATGAATTGCAAAACGAGCTTCAGTCGTTACTACACTGCGCCAGACTCCGGTTTTTATGAATGAACAAAATCTAACGGCTTCGACACCTAGAGTGGATCCAAGGTCTACACTTTCACAGTCACTTGCGAGTAATGAATGAAAATCTTGCTAGCACCAGCACAAAGTACGTCCAAAAATCCTCCTAATTTGAACAGAAAACAAACTCTTGAGCACTGCAAGAATGTCTCAGGTAGCCGTGAAACAAATATTTGCTGGGATGAACCGAAGTAATCACGAAAACCGGATCACAGCAAGCTGCGAGCTTTGCGTCGTGCAGTAACAGCGCCCTAAAACTCACTGGCTGCTTCACGTGCAGAGTTTGCCGCGGCCAGAGTCGAGCGCGACCGATTGTCCTTCGGGTTCCATCACCTGTTATGTTGATCCTTCTTAGGACAACTGGTGGAATCGGTTGAAAGTTTAAAACGAGACTAAAAAGGGTGGTATGAATGCTCCGAATACTCCTGTAGTACAGGTGCTACAGAAAAGATGCTGCAAGCTGCAAGGTGTTATTTACTACTTTATTGTTGACGCGCGATGTTCTATTGTTATTTGACCCCAGATATACCGTGAAAGAAGGGCATAAATCGTAATTTCTATGAACCTTCTGAAGGTGATAAGGCTATTTATACAATGTCGGCTAGTATAAAATGGTAATAAGTGTTTATTATGAATGCAAAACGATGACAGAGTGCTCAACCAAAGTTTTTTGATTGTATTATACTTTGCCACAGCTGGTATAGGCGGTTTTGTAATGCTTTACCGGGTCCACCCTATTGTTGTATCACAAACGGGTCGCAAACAAAAGGTTTCATGAGCTTTTGGGTATTTAACCAAAAATATTTGTTGAAACTAACAACTATTCAGTTAACTAGTTTAGTGATGCTATAATATTTTTGAAGAAAGGTTGGTTGAGTAACAGGGTCAATTTTTTCTCAAAAAAAAATATTTTCTTGCTGACGTTTCCTTTTTAATCAAATTCTTCTTCAGGACTCTGTAAAAATGAATTTTCATTAACATACCCTCCATGAAACTTATACGATTATTATCTTTTCGTTTTCCGACGTTTTAAATTCAATGAAATACTTTTTCAGGGCTCTGTAACAATGAATTTTCATCAACATACCTTTCATAAAACTGATACGAAACGATAATAATCGTATGAGTTTTGTGGAAGGTATATTTATGGACATTCATTGTTACAGAGCCTTGAAGAAGAAATTAATTAAATTCAAAACGTCGGCAAGAAAACAATTGTTTTTTTGTTTGTTTGGCAGTTTGTTTGTTTGTAACTCTCAAGCACGAAATCTGTATTTGACAGAATTATCAACAGTATTGCTTGATCTATTTGCGAGCAGATGGCGCTGTAGTTAACCTCCTCGATATAATTCGAACTCACTTCACATGTATTTTTTCGTTTGAAAAAAGTAGTTTTTTTTATCAATACGCGTGCCTGCTGTCATTTTTCTACGTGTTCAGTTCAAAAACTGATCGCGATATTGGTGCAGTTATAACTACTTATAATTTTTGTTATCTGTTTAAAATGTGGCGTCCTTAAACAAGTACTAATAGTAATAACAAGTATGATAACAACGCAGACTTTTTCCAGTGATTCCAATAGCGATGGTGAACAATGCGAAAAAGTACAATGAGATTCCTACAACTGAAATCATACGGAAGAAATTTGGCCATAACGTGAGCTGCTGTGACAAAACTCTTCAGAATTGAATAAAGAAACTAGGATTCAGAATTAAAGTAATGAACAAACGTCTAGGAGTTATGGAAAGCAGAAGAATCCTGGAATTGCGTAACATATACTTAGAAGAAATATCTAAATATAGAGAAGAACAACGGCAAATTTTCTATTTAGACGAAACTTGGTATGACACTCACGAGACAGTTACGTAGTGGAACTCAATTTTTTCAAATGGAACACCCTGTATATTTCAACATTTTTGAGCTCTACATCCAATTTTAGATTAACTTTGTTCAGATAATACTATTTCTATTTTGAACCGTTTTCGAGATAAACTGTTTCAAACGGAAACTGACGTGGTTACCTTGTTCATCACTCATTATTGTAAAACAAATTTCGTTTGATGTTTCTCAATTAATCAATGAAAATATAATTATTAAAATACTCCTCAACTATCGAATGAAACTTCTCTTCAAATAATAGTTTTATTAACGCTGAAACACGAACTGAAAATAATAAACCCATAAATTAATGAGTTAATTTAATCGTCAGTGTATTTTAGAATATGTTCGAACACATCTCCACCTCTCCACCTCCACACTGTGGAATTTTCAGGTTGATTCGTTTGCAGAAACGGCTAATTAACGCTCATCATGATAAGCCCTGTATAGGATTTTCCGCACTCAAAGGGTATCCGGTAAATGCAATTCTTGGAATCACATCCCGTTTTGGTGGCCTGGTTTTCGCGAGGCTACTACTGATAGTGTTTCCGGATCTGAAGAAGGTTCTGATGTTGCACTTGGACCCACTTCTTCTTATCCTTTCCGATAATCCTCTGATGTGTGAAATCGAAAGCACTGGTTGTGACGGCTTCTCTTCCTTGACAGGCTCCTGCTGTCTTTTAGCCAAAGTCTGCTCCACCATCGCTTCGGAGTAGCCATTCCGTTGATGATCATTTTTAATGATATCTAGTTCGTTCTCGAGACCTTCCTTTGTATTACAGAGTCCGAAAGCACGGTCTAATAGAGTTTTGATTCCTCTTTTAGTCGATTGATGTTGGTTGGATTCGTGATTCAGATACTGTTTGTGGGTTTTCAGTATCCAAATGTTTTCCACTTAATGCCGGTCCCCTTCACCAATACGTCCAAGAATGGCAGTTCGTTCTGGACTTCCTTCTACTTTGTGGAAGTGATGGAAGGCCTCACGCTGTTGATGTGTTTCAGGAAGGCGTCCAGTTGGGAATACTGAACTAGACGCCTTCCTGTCCCAAGCTGAGATCACACACAGGGAGAAACATTGGTTTAGAAGGAAATTCAAAGAAGCCGCATAGATGCTGTCCAACAATGTATTCACCGAAGCTAGCGTAGAGATACGCAACATATGGAAACCCATAATCAAGCGAAAAATGGCCAACTCTCGCCAAACGGTCATCTCCCACTGAACCGGAGAAGCGGAAAAAGGAAAGCGAAGAACCCGAAGTGAAAGTTCACGAATGACCCATACATATATATCTCTCGGAGGAATGAGTGCAGTCATCACCCGAAGACGTTTGTGGTTACTAACAATCGTAACGTCGTGAAGTAACTTGGCTTGGAATCTTAACTTTTTATTTTTTGTTCAATTGTTCTATTTCTACTTTTATTTTATTCCACTACTAGTACAATATTGCTGTGTCGCTGCTGTTCAAATGTTTTGACAGATTCAGAATCAACGAAGGCGTGCGCAGCGTTATAGAACAGTGCTTTCAAAAAATTGTTCTCCAGAACCATCTAGTGGCGAGTTACAGTAAAATTGATAGCTTAAAAACNAGTTACAGAAAAATTGATAGCCTAAAAACCTTCCCTATGAAAAATTACTTATACATGTCAAGTTTCATCACGATCGGTTAAGCGATGTAGAAGTTTACCACTTACTAACCAACCAACCAACCAACCAACCAATAAACATCCATTTTTATATATTAGATTATTTCAGTTCAGGTTTTTTCTGCCTAATATAATCGTTCTTTTCAGCTATTCTTTTTCAATTCTTATTTTTTTATTAGTTCTTTCAGGGATTCCGTATCATTTTATAAAATATCAGACAATGGAAGTCCAAAGTAGTGAAATTAATCATGAAAATTGTCAATCGCCTTTAAACAAACGTTATGATTGAAGGTTCTACATTCTCCACAACTGAATAGTCCTATTTCAACATTTTGTCCTCTTCTTTTATAGCATGTTCAATATTTTTTTGCCATTTTTCGGAATTGACGTATTTTAAGGACTCCATCAGGAGTATTTTGACATCTTTTGAGTATTGTGTTTCTTTTGCCACGAAACCCTCCTCTTGAGTCTGAACGAAGTCAATGGAATTGAGTTCGCAATGATAAGGGGGCAGAAACAGAATAATAATATTATGGATAATAGTTTTTTTGAGTATACTTTCATCAAATGATATTTTTTTGTCGAAGCGACTCAATGATATCCATTTTTCTACATTTTTTTACGTGTTCAGTTCAAAAACTGAACGCGAATTGAGTGTCAAAATTCGATATTGGTGCAGTTATAACCACTTAAAATTTTTGTTATCTGTTTAAAATGTGGCGTCCTTGAACAAGTACTAATAGTAATGACGAGTGTGATAACAACGCAGACTTTTTCCAGTGTAGTGATTCCAATAGCGATGGTGAACAATGCGAAAAAGTGCAATGAGATTCCTACAACTAAAATCATAAGAAAGAAATTTGGCCATAACGTGAGCTGCTGTGACAAAACTCTTCAGAATTAAATAAAGAAACTAGGATTCAGATTTAAAGTAATGAACAAACATCTAGGAGTTATGGAAAGCAGAAGAATCCTGAAATTGCGTAACATATACTTAGAAGAAATATCTAAATATAGAGAAGAACAACGGCAAATTTTCTATTTGGACGAAACTTGGTATGACACTCACGAGACAGTTACGAAAGAGTGGACTGATGGTTCGAGAATGTGTACGCCTAACATGCCTGCAAACACAGGATCGCGACTAATCATTGTGCATTGCGGAGGAAGTAAAGGATGGGCTCCGAAATATTTGAAATTACGTGGAAAAATACTATTTCTTATTTAATACAAAAAATAATTGAAACGTTCGAAATTTTCTTCCACAAAGAATCATAATAAAGACAGGTGTCTCATTAATCTGTCAGTCTACACAGTTGGCGAAAATATAGTGTACAGTGTACACAATACGACCAAAAACAGTTTTTCTGGACATGCAGACTCCCAGGGCTCACTAGTATTTTCCGGACTTGTTACGTAAACTACTAATTTCTATCCTCTCTAACAAATCACACCCCTTGAGTTCATGATGTGTTTTCAATATTCTAGGTTATTCTAGTCCACTCAGCAAACAAATTCAATTATTATACATTAGTTCCATCTGCATCATCCCGACACAAGCGTCAGAATCGCCACAGTACAATTAATTTTCCATTCGGAGTCATGGTTGGGAATTATCTCGAAATCACATGACATTAAAATACTTGGGCCAAGTTGGTTGTCTGCATAATTGAATCCACTTAACCCATATCTATTCCAGGCCACTTGTGATCCTTTTACGTCCATTGTAATAAAAGGGAACCG